GATTATTTATAAACTACAGACTTCTTGTAATATTGTTAACAACTGATTAGAAATGGAAAAATTTGTGGGCTTTGTTTGTACTTTCTAAACTAAGCATCAGATGGGCTACAGTAAAAAAAATATATTCATTAATTCTTTTCTAGGTCAGAAAGGTGTGAAAATGTTGTTAGACTCTCTGATTCAGCTTCAGGAAGACTTGCTCCAAGCCAATCCAGAGACACAACACATTCTTCAACTTGACAGCAGTGTAGGGGACAAAGCTGATAGGTGAACATTATATTTCAAAGTTATTTTAAACCAATGAGATTTGTTCATAAAGTAGCTATCTTGTTTTTCTTTGAGTCAGACATGAGATAATGTGAGAAACCAGACATCACTTCTGACCACAGTTCCCATTAAGAATGATATAAATCTTAACATGATGCTTGGCAACATTGAGCTCTCAGAGAACTGCTGTTGTTGATGGATAATGAACTTATGAATTGAAGTTGTCACATGACAAGCAGTGTGATGCATGGCATCATCATGCAGAAGGGGAGAATCTAGTGACAAATGTATACTAATCTATTATCAAGTTTGTAAATTGTAATTGTTACATGACGAGCAATGTAAAGCATGACATCATCATAGTGAAAGAGAACATCCATTAACAAACTTATGAATTGAAGTTGTCACATGACAAGCAGTGTGATGCATGGCATCATCATGCAGAAGGGCACGATGATTTCAAGATTCACATTGTTTGTCTGTTAAACTATAATTTATCAGTTTGTTAATGGTTGTTCTCTTTCATTACGATGATGTCAAGTTTCACACTGCTCATCATGTAACAATTACAATTTACAAATTTGATAATAGATTAGTATACATCTGTCACTAGATTCTCTTTGAATAGTCCGTATTAAAGGTGTTATAGGGTTATGTCTATGATATTATGTATATCAAAGTGTTAACACAAATATCAACTGAAATACATATGCTAACTTTTCAATCAACTACAGTTGTTTAAATTTACTACTGACGAATTTCATTACAAATGGTTTTGAGATATCATATTCAAAACACCAGCCGCAATGATATTACTGGACCACTTATTCATGTGACATCATAGACCAATTTTAATCTTTGACTGACCAATTACCAAAGTTTGGGTAATATAATATAGGATCGGTAATAACTGAAGCTCTCTCATTTCATAAGAACAATTTCTCATTGATACTAACAACTTCGTTTTCCAAATCAAATCGTCATACTGCTAACTATATACACAACTGATGCTTAGCTGCCCTCTACATTTAGATGCCTTTAGCTTAAACTACATCTAGTGGTTGTTTTAATTGTGACCAACTTGAAATTCCTGTACAATTTTTCTTAAAAGGCCATACAAAACTGTATATTAATGATGAGTTCAAACCTGAAGTTAGTGAAGGACTTATGACGTTTTGCAAGAACTTCTGAATATTCTCCAATTTTCATTTTTCTCTTGACAGGCAACTTTGTCTTATCTTCTTTCTCTTCTTCAGATTCACTAGTTATCTCTTCATTGCTAACAAGAAAAACAGGGAATCACTGTGATTTAGTGGTCATCTCTTCACTACTAGCTAGTAAAACAGAGAATCACTGTAATTTAGTGGTCATCTCTTCACTACTAACTAGTAAAACAGAGAATCACTGTAATTTAGTGGTCATCTCTTCACTACTAACTAGTAAAACAGAGAATCACTGTGATTTAGTGGTCATCTCTTCATTGCTAACAAGTAAAACAAGGCATCACAACGATATAATTGTCATCTCTTCACTACTAACACGTAAAATAAGACTTCACTATGATATAATGATCATCTCTTCACTACTAACTAGTAAAACAGAGAATCACTATGATATAATGGTCATATCTTCACTACTAACAAGTAAAACAAGATTTCACTGTGATTTACTGGGTTACTTAGTGTGTACCTAATAGACTTTTTATCTCACACATCTAATAATAAAATGAATAACAGATAATGTTCATCATGGAGACATCATTCAACAATTTAATTACTGGAAAATAAACATCAGAAAATATTTAATTGCACATACACAAACACACATAACAATTTGAATTATATAGCTTCTTCATCAGAAGTTTTCAAATTGATAACAAACTAAGATAAATGAAAGAGGACATCACAAATGAAACTGATAAAAATAAAACTTAGGATAATTAGAAAGAAATATTATTTTTCTTTTACGAACACAGGACATAAGTAAGGTGTGGCTGAAAACAACTGTTACTAATCCAGTAACCGTTAGCAACTGGGAGATGTTCTCCTACAATGGCATTCTTTATAAAAATCATAAATAATACTCAACGTTAAACTGGTACACAACTAAAAACATTTTATTTAGGCCTATCTATGGCCTTCAAAAAGTTGACGACTCTACGTGGTTCGACGTTACAACGTCATCCTGATTTTAACTTTATACGCAAGTGCCAAACTACTGTAGGCATTCTTTATATCAACACTACTTCTAAAAATTTTCTACGTTTTGTTTCTAATGATGCATACATGTCACATGCTTTAGGAATAATATATATGACCACTCTTAGGGCAAATCTTCTCAGTTTTTGTTCAAAGAAATTAAATGGGTAAAGTTTATTCCAAGACTTATTATTGTATAGTAATTTGGTTTGAGGTATTTGTTTTATTATGCTACAAAATAACTAAGTTTCTGTTATCTTTTCGGGGGAAATATAGGCTACTTGTATATATTGTTTATTTATTTATCAACCATTTCAGTGAGTTATCTCACTAAACCTCAGAATTTGTAATTTATGGTAGGTACACTTGACCATGATCACTGACACATTCAATAAAGGTCACTCGCAGTGATAAAGTTTACATATAACTGGTCATTAGTTTCAATGGTTAGCTTATAGTAAGGTATTGTTTAGGAGAAACAAACAAGTTTCTGTCACAGACCTTCTGTAACACACACACTGATTATCTGTATTTACTACTTCAATGTATTTCATAAAACTATTTTATTGAGATACGTAGTTCATATTTACGTGTCTTTCTGAGAAGTTGAACAACAAAGGATCACTGTTTATCTTTATTTTGTAAGATTGTTTTACACCGTAGGCCTCCTCTACAAATGTCAGTGTAAGGATCACTGTTTATCTTTATTTTGTAAGATTGTTTTACACCGTAGGCCTCCTCTACAAATGTCAGTGCAAGGATCACTGTTTGTCTTTATTTTGTAAGATTGTTTTACACCGTAGACCTCCTCTACAAATGTCAGTGTAAGGATCACTGTTTATCTTTATTTTGTAAGATTGTTTTACACCGTAGGCCTCCCTTATAAAAGTGACAGTGCAAGGATCTCT